TGAGCTTGCTTGTATTCCTTTGTAAGAATCTTTTTCTACTTAGTGGATTGCCTAGTCGGTTGATGACTTCCAGTTTTTCCCAATGGTGGGTTTCTGGGTAAACAAAATCTGTTTTGCATATCTGTAATTTTTCTGGGTTTCTGTTCTTGGTGGTTGACTAGTCATCTATATCTACTGTTTGCTGTTTACTTGATAATGACTTGATAATGATGACTTCACACACTTTCACCATAGTTGTTGCTAGCACAGGGGATGCCTAGATTGATGGGTCCTTCTGAGTGCCTAGGTTGTCACTAGTAATCTTCTAGGACTGCAGGTACTCTGTGGCATACTCTGTGTGTTCTCTTGATTTTTGAGTTCTTGTGTCTTTTTTGTTTAGTTAAATTTACCCCTCGTCACCTGAGTACCATTTTCAATTGGTATCAGAGCATCAGCTCTTAACACAAATAGAGAGATCCTAGGATTTGTTTTGGTGTTTAGGTGTACTCACTATGGAAAGGGATCGAGTTGCTGGATCTTGCAACTCACCACCTTATTTTGACGGAAATAACTATGCTGCATGGAGAGAAAAATTTGAGATATTTCTTGATGCTCTTGATGAGTATGCAAGTGTGTATCTCACAAAAGAGTGGATTGCTCCAGTCAAGACTGTTGAGGGTGAAGTTGTGCCCAAGCCTAGGTCTGAATGGACTGAAGCAGAGGTGTTTGCTGCATATGCAAACAAGAAGGCCAGAAATGCCTTAGTTACAGCTTTGTCTAGCACACAGTTTGCACATATACAACACATCCCAAATGCTAAAAAGGTTTGGGATAAACTAAGGGTGGTTCATGAAGGGGATGACCAAGTTAGAACCTTAAAACTTCATATGGTGCTTGCACAATTTGAAGAACTTAGGATGTCTGAAACTGAGTCTATTTTTGAGTTCTATGGGAGAGTGGAAATGATCACAAATGAAGCCATGAGTCTTGGTCAACCTATTCAAGAGCTTCTTGTTGTTCAGAAAATTCTTCGTGTTCTACCATCTAGATTTAGAGCAAAGAAAACCGCAATCATGGAGGTCCAAAACTTAAATGAAATTAAGCTTGGCAAGCTTGTAGGAAAATTAAAAACCTATGAGATGGAGTTGAATATGGAAGAAAATGACACTAAAAAATCAAAAAGTGTTGCACTTCAAGGAGTGCATGTTTCTTCTCTGAAATTCCGATTTTGAGGATGAGATGGCCTTGTTTGTCAAAAAATTTAGGAGAATTCTTAAGGATAAGGGAAAGTTTGCTAGAGAGGGTAGCTCTAGTAGTGAGAGACAGTTTAGACCATCAACTGATCGGTCTAATGAGAGGAACAAGGATGTCAAACCTTTCACTAAAGACTTTAGAAAATCTGTCATGTGCTTCACATGTGGAGGCATTGGGCACTATGCTGCTGACTGTGCAAACAATCAGAAAAATTACTCCAAAGGAAAGGACAAGGCCAAGAAAGTGAGCTGGAGTGAGAGTGAAAGTGAAGTGTCTCAAGAGGATTCATCTTCCTCTGATGATGATGATCAACAAGTTGCCTTTGTTGCTTCTGTGCATCCTGTGTCTGATGATTCTGATTTTGAGTCTGATGACCTGTCATACGAGTCCTTAGGAAGAAATTATGATTGCTTGTTCAAAGAGACTTTTTCCTTGAAAGAAGAGAGTCTCAAACTTGAGGCAAATAACCAAGAACTGAAGCATGAAATTCTCATCTTAAAAGAAACCAAAAAGGAGTTGTGTGACAAATTTGTGTCTTTAGAAAAAGAAATTGTTGCACTTGTGTCAATTAGGAGTAATCTTGAAAATCAAGTTATTGTGCTCAAGGAGAGTAACATTGGGTTCCAGAACTCAAACAAACTGCTCCTAAGTGAATTGAATGAAGCAAAAAGTAAGGTTATATCTATGACCATTGGTGCTTCAAAAATTGACAAAATGTTGAATATGGGAAAACTTCATGGGGACAAAGGTGGTCTTGGATTTGATCTTTTTAATTCTAAGTCGTCTAGCTCTACCACTAAGTTTGTCGAGTCAAAAACTCCAGCCATTGCTCCTCTTGATGTTCAGCTGGGTGTCAAGAAAACTAAGTTTGTTCCAACTTGTCACAGGTGTGGGTTGACTGATCATATTCGACCAGTCTGTCATATGTTCAAAAAGGATAAGACCAGAATGTTGTCTTCAAAATCTAAAAGGAATCCCAAATCTTTGCAAGATCAAGTTGATCATTTGCTAAATGAAGTCACAAAGATTGCCAAACTTGTCTCCCTTAAAATGAGTTCACCCATTGTGCCTAAGTCTACTTGGATTGCAAAAGGTCATGCCAAATGTCTTGTTGTGCTAAATGCTTTTGCTGCTTCAAACACCAATTCTTGGTACTTTGATAGTGGCTGTTCCAAACAAATGTCTGGTGATAAGAGTGTTTTCTCATCTCTCAGCCCTTTTGATGGAGGCACTGTGACTTTTGGTAGGGGTCACAAGTCTCAAGTTGTGGGGAAAGGTACTGTTTGTATCCCTGGTTTACCCGAGCTTAAGAATGTTAGATTTGTTGAGGGTCTCACATCCAATCTCATTAGTGTGAGTCAGCTGTGTGATGATGGAATAGTAGAAGTTAGATACTCCAAGCATGGCTGCAAAATCATTGGAAAGGGTGGCAATGAGATTGTGAGTGTGTCAAAGTCTAGGGACAATTGTTATTGCATTGATGGTGTCAATGATGCAAAAGAAGTTGTTTGCAACAAGGTTGTGAATGAAACAAGTGTCTTGTGGCATCAAAGACTTGGACATGTGAATTTTAGAGACTTGCATAAATTGTCCAAGCGAGAGTTAGTGAGTGGTCTACCAAAGCTTGACAAATATGATCAGCATGTTTGTGAAGAGATGGAAATTAAACATGAGTTCTCTGACCCTATTACACCTCAGCAGACCGCCTTTGAACTTGAATTGTCCAACTTCTTACACCTATTGATTTCGGATCAAGCCCAAAACTTGGGCAACAACATAATATGGTGGGAGGAGTCATTTCGTTAAGTTTGAGTGAAATCCGATCTCTAGAACTACCCAAAACCCCAACCACTACAATTAGGAACGAACTGCCTTTGAACGTGAATTGTCCAATTTCTTACACCTATTGATTTCGGATCGAGCCCAAAACTTGGGCAACATCATAATATGGTGGGAGCGGTCATTTGGTTACGTTTGAGTGAAATCCGATCTCCAGAACTTTCCAAAACACCAACCACTCCAATTAGGAACGAACTGCCTTT